TAATGGTGTGAGTGTGTGTGTATTCAAAACATGTATATTCAACTTAAATGATATAGGCATGAAATAATTAAATGAGAAAACGCTGCCCTCTTGTGGCAGAGACTTGAGGGCTTACAAAATACCCGTGTGCCAAGTCCTAGCCACCAGATGGGGAGGGAGAATTGAGGGGCTGGGTGAAAATGGTGAAGGGATTGAGAAGTACAGATTGGTAGTTACAGAATAGTCACAGAGATGTACATTCCAGCATAGGAAGTATAGTCAATAATATTCTAATAACAGGTGGGTACTTGGAACATTGGGGAGACCACTCTGAAAAGCACATGATTTTTTAACCACTATGCTATACATCTGAAACTATCACAGAATAGTACTAAATATAAACTGCAATTGAAAAGCAAAGTAAAATAAATAAATAAAAATTTTTAAAATACCCACCTGCTTCTCTATCTCCCAGGGGTCCCCTCAGCCTGGCCTGCACCCTTTAGCAGCCCGGGAAGCCTTTAGGAGATGTCCAACTGGCTTAGCACCACTGCACTTGCCAGCCATCAGCCGGCTTGTGGGAGTGCACTGACCACCAGGGGGCATCTCCTACATTGAGCATCTGCCCCCTGGTGGTCAGTGCATATCATAGCGACCAATTATTCTGCTGTCCAGTTGATTTGCATATTACCCTTTTATTATATAGGATATGAGATGACAGTCATTGTGACCATCTTTGGAAACCACAATCTGCCATTTAAAACTTTTTTTGAAAAGCCCTATCAATCCTACAAAGGTAGGAGGTTAGGGGGAAAAGCATTGAAAAAGTGAGGCAAATGGCACAAAGCGAAAGATACAGAAAATAATCCAGATATATAATAATCATAATTCCTGAGATCAAACTCATTCATTAAAAGACAAAGATAGAATAAAAAAAAAAGTATGTGATATTTATGAGACACCTCTAAAATGTAAGAAGAAAATAACTGCAAAATATACATGGAAAATTCTACCCTGCAGAGAGAAATGAGTTAGCTATATTAACTTAAGAGTACATAGACTTTGAGACCAAAAAACTCATGTATATATATAGAGAGAGTCACTACAAAAAAAACCCCACTTGATAGTCTCAGTACACGGAGATAATATAATTAATATTTTTCACAGTATTTTAAAGCTTCTAGTGCCCAGAATGAGAGATACCAAGTAAGCATCCACATGTACACATTGACCTTTCAGTCATGCTGACTCCTTATAATATGTTCCATGTAGGGACAGGGCAGAAGAAAATGTACCTAAACATTAACTATGGTTGACTTGATGAAGGATAACTGAGTTAATTTTTCTTTCACTTTCCTATATTTTTCAAGTTTTCACTGCTGAGTACATATTATTTTTATACCGGTGGAGAAAATTGGAAAAAAATAACAACTTTCTAAATCTCTTTGGATTAAGAATTTTCCAGAAATCCAACAATCAAGTAAGTCCAGCGTCTTTTACTAGTTATGACAACTGGTTTTTATGGTTCTGGTTTCTTAACTTGAGACTAATTAACAAGCATGATTTACCTGTTATCAGTCAGCTCTTGTTATCAATGAGCCCTTACTAAGCACCTTACTTTGTAGGTTGATAGCTCAGACATCGAATGAAATCTCACAGCCAGGGCCTATGTATGCTCTCCCGGAGAGAACAAGACAGACGGACTGATAAAAAAGGTGGAGCAGGAAGAAAGCAGAAAATTTC